TATATATATATAGAAAAAAAAAAATTAAATAAAATAAACAAATAGCTAAACAAACAATAAACAAATAAATAAATAAACAACTGAAAAATAAAAAAATTTTATTATAATTTGTTCAATAAATTGTTCTTTATTTTTTAAAAAATGATTAAATTGTACGAGTAGGGTGATTCAATTCTAATGTTCATGGTTTCTGATTTCGAATTAAATTAGTGACGTAGTTATTTTGAAATCAGTGATTCGTAAATCTTATTTGTTTTGATTTGTAAGTTTATTTATATAATAAACTTTTTACGAACGTGAATTTTCTTTATTAATTTATTATGACTACATAATACAATAACAATATTTTATCAAAAACAAAAAAAGGCTACTCATTTCAGCTCCGAATATCACCCATTTCATTTCTGATTTCAAAAATTTGAAAATAGAAATAGGACGTTTTAAACCCCTATTTGTTTTTTGAAATAAGTTAACATTGAATCACCCTAGTATCCATTTTTATCTTGCAATACATTTGAAGGTTTATTTGCTAACTTTCTCAATTATAAATGTACTGATCAAGTAAACAAAAGGGTTGATTATGTTACAAATGAGCAAAAAGCATTTAGTTTGCGAAATCTTGGAATATTGACAAGCTCTCGTCATTGAATTTGATGTAAGTCGTGTGTTCTTAAAAATTGCTCCTTTACGGCTGAACTGTTTATCTGAATTGAATATTTCTCTAATGGGGGTTTCAGAATTAACTTTTTTTCAAAATAAGTGGGAGTTTAAAAGGACCTATTTTCTTTTTTAAAATTCCGAATCAGAAAATTTAATAGGCGGTGATAAAATCAGCTTTTTTTTGATAAACTTTCATCGGTAAACGATTATGTAAATAAGTACATACTTTAAAAAAATAGAATTTGTACGTTGCTTATTTTGAAATAAATACGTCACTTATTTTGTCTGAAATCGGATGCCAAATCGTTAATTCTGAAACCCCCTAATCATGCAAGAAGTTTAACAAGTATAATTAATGTCATGTAAAATATAGCTGCGTGAAAACATTCACTGTAAATATAAAAGTTGAAATTGCTTTAAAATCATCCCAACAACACATGCTTGTGTATTTAATGTAACTGGAATAATAAACAGCTGAAAATTGAATAATAAATTTACGTTTGAAATTCATTACCTAGTTGAGTGATGTTTCAAGTTAATTACTTAGGATCTTGGAATCCAAATTTAGCAAAATTTTTCTATTTACAACGTACGTACGAACGTACAGTACGTTTAACAAAGATCATAAATTAGCTCTTGATTGGTAGGAACAAAAAATTTGTTTCTACGATTTTCTATTTAAATATTGAAGAATTATTATTGCACGTTTTTTTTTTTTTATAATACAATTACTATATAGTTTTTCATTGCTGTGATCTTACTTTCCTTTCTTTAAATCGATCTGTACTCTTAACCAATTCAATTGAATAGAGTCCACATACATTACTGTATTTAATTAATTTTTTTCACAGAAAATTGTACTTACAAATATTTTACATATTACAAATTATATATATATTAGCCCAACTATATAATTATGCATTTTTTTAGTTTTTATATTTTCATTTTTTTCTTAAATTTTAATTTTGCTTTTGCTACATTTATTCCAGATGGAAGATGTCTTCATTCATCAGTTCTTATAGATAAGAAAATCTATTTTAGTGGTGGATATAAGAATTATTCTTATACTGACCTTACGAATGAATTCTTTTATTTGGATGTTTCCAAACCATTTACAATAACAGACAATGCCTTAATTCCATGGGTAGACCTTAATTATACTAACGGTCCTTGGGAGCGTTCTGCTACAGCATGTATTGGTGGTAAAAATAATGATATAATTTTTATCTTTGGTAGAGATAATATTCATCAATCAATTGTTAATAATTATGATCCAAATAAACAGCAATGGATTAATATCATAGCTACTGGAAGTTCACCCATACGTAGAGATAGTATTTCATGTGCTAAATTTAATAACGGATTGATTGCTATTTTTAGTGGTTTTATTAATTCTACTTATAACATAAATGACCTTTGGATATTTAATACATTAACGTTAACATGGAGTTTAAGTAATGCGACAAATGCACCTCCATCTCTGTATGGTTATAGTGCAATTATATATTGGTGGATATAGCCCTTCTAATTCATTATTTATGCCAATGAATAACGTAAGCGTTGTCTTTTAATAATAATAATAAATTGATCTTTTAACCTCTACGGTATTTATTAATCTTTTTGTAGCTGCCATTATATAATACGAAATATGATACGTGGACAAATATAGTACGTAGAAACAAAATATAATATTCATTATAACTTAGCAATTAATAATTTAAATCTTATTAGAATTCATCTGGTCCATCTCCTCCTGCTCGCTATTATTTCTCGGCCGTATTAAGTATGTCATTTTAACAATATAAATAAATGTTCTTAAGTGTAAATATTTTCTATTAATCATTTTTAATCATTTAAATTGAAAGCTCTTGACGGACGCATTATAATTTTCGGCGGTTATAATGAAACTATATTTTTCGGTGATTTGTGGATACTAAATATTACAATGCGTCAATGGTCAATCGGAAACATTTTAAATCCATCTTCGACAACATACTGCAACATTAGTGGATGATTATATGTTCGACAACATACTGCAACATTAGTGGATGATTATATGTTTGTTGCTTTTGGTAAAATTTTTCTTTTGTTATTTTTTTTTTTTTTTACTATTTACTTATAGTATAAATTCTTTATTTATTTTTATTTTGTTTAACAGGTGCATTAGCAAATAATACTTGTTCATCAAAAATATTTATGCTAAATGTTAGTCAAAAGGATTCCTATAGTTGGGTTACCGAATTTTCTCCAAATACTACAATTCAAAGTAATACAATTCAAAGTAATACAATCCAAAATAATACAATAATTTCAGATCGCTTTATTATTGAAGCCAGCAGTATTATTTCTTTAGTAAATATAGTTTTCGTTATAGTAAATATAATATTCATTATTATTTTTATGAAAAAACTTCGTTATGCAAAGGATCGGTTTATAATCTAAAGAATCCTACTCAAAAAAAAGAGAGATCATTATAGAATGCCATACAAAAATAAAACAGTCATTTAATTTTTTATGGTAACATTTTTGTTTGCGGTTCAATAATCGAAAGTAGATAATGTTGCTGACGTGATATTAATCAAAAGAACAAATTATAGAGATCGTTGAAAAATTTTAGTAATTTATTATATTAACTAGAATTATAATTGTATTTTATTAGTTGACTGGACAATTATAATATAAATTATAGTTTTGATGATAATATAAATTATAGTTTTGATGAATAAAACTCAAATCAATTAAACTGGATAAGACATTTAGTATGTAAACTAGTGCTTTGAACCAAGAAAAAAAAAAAAAAGCTCCTCGACCAGTTAGCCGGCCGGTTACCAATTATAGCTTAATTGATTCTAATCATTACAGTGTGAACTTCTACTTTTTAACCTTTCAAAGCACTGAATCTAGTAAGTTAACTTTATTTAGAAGTGGTTCGCCCTATAAGAAAAGTGGTCCGGGTTGTGGCTCGGGTTGGTTTCGGGAATGCACGAAATGGTACGGATACGTGGCACGTTAAGGCTCATTTACGTGATGGCACGGCTAAAAATGGTACGGACATTGCAGGCAAAGTGGTGGCACGTTTTGTCACGTCTTACGGAATGGCACGTATTTAATGATGTGTATATGCACGTATCTCAAGAGCGAAGGATAAGTAAATGCTTTTTTTTTAAAAAAAAAAAATGCAATTTCACTGATAAAATTGTCCTGGGTATCTTAACGAAAAAAATTCCTTGCAGAATTTTACACATATGCAATTACTTTAATTTCAAATACGTACTATATTGATGATTATTGATGATTATTGATATTAATTTATGTTTTAATATGTATATTTAAAATTTAGTGGTACGTGAATTTACGTACACCCGTACCAAAACCCGAGTCATTAACGGTCCAATTGGCACTGGTATACGGACCAACACGAACCAAAAATCCGTACCAATTCGAGCCTCTTACGTACAAGATCCGGGTTTGATTTGTGCCACCGAAACCCGAGCCATTCCACGCCAACCCGTACAATTATAGTACATTTTTTCTTATAGGGTCGTTGGTTTCGCTTATATTTATATTTATTTGTATATACTATCATTGTGTATTGGATCTAATTGGATGAACCTTAAATTTGATGGAATATGTGTAAATATATAATAAAGGTCTAATCGGTTTCTCTGATCAAACCAGTCAATCAGATTCTTTTTAGAAATTTGGTGCTTGATAGCACTCAATGTGCGATTGAGTCTTACAGTAATTAATGACAAAATTATGCCAGCACAACTATTACAGCTCCCTATAAATGTAACTTTAAATTCTGGCCCAAGTATATATTTGATCTCTTAATTGTTCTCTAAATGCATGTTGCTAAAGGTCTGATACTAACGAATTGTATATGGATAAAGTTGACAGTATAAATGATATGTAATTTATTTTAACTATCGTTATTCAATTGATTACACACGTTGTAAGTGGGGACAGGATTCGAGTGGATTTGAAGTGTTTTAAGGATAGAGTGCAGGGTTATATAAAAGAGTTTTTATTCTAAATTTTAATACCTCTGGTATTTTGCAAAAAAGCCAAAATTAATTAAATAATGCCTCGAGGTACTGTGTGAAGAGTGATAACTATACAAGAGGGTATACTGAAGAGAGTAATAATGCGAGTTGATCGTTGATTCGGGTAATAAACTAGTGACAGTGTGACAAAAATAAAATAGGCAAAAATATTTAATGACATCTAAAATGTAAAAATTGTAATAATGAGTATCAATTATTTTTTCTTCACTATGGTACAATATATGTATACTAATTTCATACTTAACTGCGTATATAACAGAACTGAGTACTTTCTTAACTGCCATTATAGCGACCTACAAGATGTATAGTACAATCCTTTTTGATCTTGTAAAATGAAATGGTATTATGGTTTTCTAATTGTTTGCCTCTGAAAATTAATCGTTGATGCTCAGGACGAGTGCCTGGAGAGAAGGGTATTATTAAAATGCATGATTTCATTTTCTTTGTCATAAAAAATAAATAATGTACCATCTTTTTGATGGACTTTGAGCTTGAGGATTTCAACTGTGTCACTTTCTTCAACGTAGATATCGAATTTTATATCTTGCAGATTCATTATTTTGATTTTAAAAACACCTGCGTTGGAATAATCATGTGGTAAATTATCGTTGGGTAAATTATCACTGGTTGTATTTGGTTCATTTCTTCGGAAAATATAGTTGTAAATCCTATACAAGAGATTGGTAAAAACAACTTCACCCTCGAAATCCTCGCCTAACTTAGCATTAATCAAACGAGATACTTGGGGGCATTCCTTGAAGCTAGTACTTTCTTTGCAAATTGGACAAATGTTTCCTATATTTTGGATGCATTCTTGACAATAAAATCTGGGACAGCATTGTGTTTCTCGAGGATTAGGCTTTAACTCCCTACATATGGTACATTGGAATTCACTCAGGTCCATATTTAACTGCTTCTCAAGTTTCTGAGGAGTAAAGGGATGAAAATAATTTAGGGTAACTTATTTTTTAAATGTTATTAGCTAGACTGCTGTACGTAAAGATATGAGTGTGCGAAAAATCCCAGGTGTTAGACTATGAAAAAATAATCGGAATATTTCTCCGGAAAATTTTGATACAATCATGGTGTAATCATATTTCTAGATAGCAAGGTATGCCATGCGGGATATAACTTTTGCCCCAAATTTTGGGACAGAATTTAATAAGGTAAATGCAAAAGTAATTTTACGAACGATCTACGGAAAATTTTAACGGACAGCACGGGATCGTAGTCAAAACGCGTTATGGACTAGGGTAAATTGATTTGGTAAGGTGTCCAGGATCATGATGCTACGTAATATGCACATAACAGATAATTTAACCCATATATGTACGTACGTACGTACGTTGTAAAAATGTTAAATTCCCTGTACTACAAGAATACACTGCAGCATTACATTAATACCTCTAACTAAGCCCTAATAACAGATCGAGGCATGTAAAACTAGGGTCAATTAGAGCTCTAGATTATGCTACAGTATCTTCATATAAAGTCACGAGGTTTGATCACTAATTCCCAGATTTTTACTTATTGGGGGATTAGTAGAGCCAAGCAATGTTGAACTCTAACCAAGTTATCTTTTATTGAGAGCGAAATGGCTTTGCTTATATACTTATTTGCATAGTAATGGAATAACAGAGATCATTCAAATATCGAATATAATAAAGATATCGGAAATACTAAAAGATTCTATCTCTAATATGCTTGCTTGGGGATCTTTATATTATTTAGATCTTAGATATTTTTGGGATTTACGGGATCCTTGCTTTTCAGATTTCGTACGTACTACGTCGAAAACTGCAGTAATTACCAGGGTGCAGTTTACACTTTCACAACGTACGTACATGGGCATTACTTCAGTATTTTGAAAGAATATGCATATATCCAATAATACTTAGGTAGGCGTTATTCACGACAAAACGGTAATAAATTGCCTACGTATCACTTTCCTAAAGCGAGAACAATGATTTCAAATATATAGATGCTATTTTCATGATTATCTGATAGTTTTTGTACTTTTACGTACGTACGTACTAACGAATTTAATCAAAAATGAAAATTATTTTATCAATCATTTTTTTCTGCATAATTAACTTTCACAAGAGCATATACGCATTTGTTCTTCATGGGAAAGGAGACCATAGTGCAGTTCTTGTTGATAAAAAGCTTTACTTTCTTGGTGGATGGCATTCGGGCTATTGTGTACAAAAATTACTTTATCTTGATGTCTCAAGATCATTTACTACATTTGACGTAACTTTAATGCCTTGGACTGACCTTAATTCGATTTCAGGTATAACTTCTAAAACTGCTGCAACAGCTTGTGTTGATGATACTACAATTTATTATATTGGTGGATCTTATACTGGAGGTCTTGTTAGTAAATTTGATACGATATCTCTACAATGGAGTGAACCTACTACTTCTGGATCAATACCTCCTTCTTACGAACAGATGAAATATGTTCAATGTGTAATTTTAGGACATAAAATACATATTTATGGTGGAGTTACTTCTCATAAGATGAATATATTAGATACTTCAAATCTATATTGGTCTACATTTTCATCGTCATTAATATACAGTGGAACGCAATTTTACAGTGCTACATTAATAAACGATTCAATTATATACATTGGGGGAGGATTTAGTGAACTTGGTGGTTGTCAAGCTAATTCAAATCATGAGGTATGATATTAAGCTGTATTATCTTTATACAGTTAGACGTCCCTAAATACACTCTATAGGGACTAAACTTTTAGTAACATGCAACAAATATATATTTGGGCAAGAAATTATGGGTGCATTTAAAAAGCCTGCGTTTGGAGAGTGTGAACTTAGAGAGGTCTGACCGTAGTTACTACTATAATGTTTTGCAAATAATATTTCAAGTTTCTTATTATTTAACCAAGAATACTAATAAAGATTTAAGCTTGGAAAATATAAGTAGCATGAGTGGCGGATATAATTTTAGAAAAAACGTTTATGATGTGTCCAAGTCTCCTCAAACTAATGAGATTAATAGTTCTAGGATATTATTTGCAGAATATTATCAAAATTTTTTTTTAATATATAATCATATATACCGTATATATTTGTTGTCGTATAAATTCAGCTGCCAATTTCAATTTTTAATACAAAAGATAATACTTGGAATATAGTTGTAGGTTTTAATTAAATTCTTTTAATTTTAATTATATTAAATTTGTATTATCAAAATGTTCACAGTCTTGTTTAATTTTGTTGTTATCAATAAACTTAGATTACAAATGGCCAAGTTCCCACCGGAAAATGCAATCATACATCGGTCTACATTCGTATGTATTATAATCAGTCTCTCTTTTTATAGACATTTTTAATCCTTTATACTTACTTTTATAAATTACATTAGCTCAACATAATCGAATTTTATTATTTTATGGAGCTAACGATGTTACGATTAATTCCCTTGATACCTTAACATTTACTTGGACAATACCCGAGATTTTAAACTCTGGTGGCCCTCTGAAAAGTTTACACGGTCATACCTCTACATTAATTGGAGCCTATATTTTTATTGCATTTGGTAAATATGAATAAATCGTTATAAAACATAAAAAATATATATATGCAGATTCCAGGTTACATATTACTTATTCAAATATTAATGTTTAGGATTTTATCAAACTGACAATGGACTGTCAGATTCACAAGATATTTTTCTTCTCGATGTAAGTCATAAAGATCGTTATAAGTGGGTGACAACTTATGACCCTATCAATTCAATTCAACCAATACCAGCTTCACCAACTTTACCATCAAATAATAATATTGTCGTAGTAATTGCTGGTACGATTTTCGGAGGAATAATTTGTGTGATTGTGGGAATGCTTATAGGATTGATGATGAGACCATTTGTAGAAAGAGTTAATATGGATAGAGCTAATTATGATCGAATGCTATAATTTAATTAATGATGCCACTACATAAAACAAAAATGAACAATATATACCATTAATTTGGTAGTAAGAATTGTGAATCGTTAGATAAACTATATTACGGCCAACCATTTAAATAGTTGAAACATTTTGACAAGAAAAATTCTTCATTATATCTTATTTAGTATTAAACGGATCTATGAAAATATGCAAAACTTGTTTATAGTCACTGAAAAATATCTTAAATTTATTGTATAACAGTTTGATATACAAAATTTTTTTTTTATATCTTTTATATAATAACATATCGGTTGATTTTTGGAATTAGGGCCTTTTTTTGATCTGCAAATCATAATATAAATTTTAAAAAAGGTCACCAAAAATTCTAAAAATTACCCTATTTTAAAATATCAAAACATAAAAACAAATAATAAATCTTATATGTTCGCGTTAAAACCCATGAGCTAATTACAAAACCCATGAGCACTAAAAGTAATATTTTGTAATTAATATAAATTATTCTT